GTTCACTTCTAACAAAAATTTGTCTTGCAGTTATATTCCTATGAAAAAAATGTTCAATAAAATAGCCTACTTTTTAATGTTTTACTTGATTAAAACGTATCATAGTCTCGTTTGAACTTTTTAGATAATGGTTAGCCGTATTAGGTTTAAAAGATCGAATGGACGAAGCGCAAAGTCGCGTTACCATCTCATTGAAACGTACTCAAACGAGTCTGGTGTTGAGTGGCGTCTGGTCAACCAACTTACTACCAGACTATGAAGAGGGTTTACATAGCGCGCGCGAGCTGTCCGCCGTTATCGAACGCGTAATACGGTCCTCCTCTTCTCTAGGTTCCATGAACATTCCTGGGGACATGAACATAGCAAAAGTTGGACGTTCAGTCCAACGCGAACGAAGCTTCTTCCTCTTCTTTACTCATCGACCGAGTCGTCGACCTTACACACTTTTCCACCATTAGACGCACCGAGTGTACTTAAAAAAATAAAAAAAATAAAAAGAAGAAGGGAAAAAATGAGATAAAAGGAAAAAATGAAATAAAAAAAAAAAAGAGAAGAAAGTAAAAATCTTGAAAACGTCTGACTTGTCTGTTTTTCTATTTTTTTTTCTCTTTCTCTTTCTCTTTCTCTCTCTCTCTCTCTCTCTCTACTTGTAAAAGAAAAAAGGATAAGAAACTTAGTGTGTCGTTGAATTAAATTTATCTGTCTTCTTTTTTTTTTTTTATAATACTAGGTCACGAGTTTCTATTCGTGATTCTTTTTTTATATTTGAAAAATTAACAAATGGTTAAACTTTTTTTTCTTTTTTTTTTTTCTAGAATTAGACGCAAATAAATGTGTACTTATTGTGAGAACATAAAAACAGAAAAGGAGTACAAATCCAAGGTAAGTCTGACTTATTTTTTACTACTTATAAGAGAAACAATTTGGTCCAATATTCTTGGATCATATAAACATTTAGAATCTCACAATGGAGATAATTTAAAGTGATAAGTAAATATTACAAAATAAAATGGAAGAAAAAATGATATTTTATGTGGATTTCCATATTAAAAAAAAAAGAAATCTAAGAAGAAGAAAATAGAAGAAAAGAAAGAAGAGATTTATCTTGAAAAGAAATGAGAAAGATGGACAGATAGATGGATAGATAAAGAAGAATGTATCTCGTAACGGTGTCAGTGCGTGTGCGCATGTGCTGTAGATGTACTCGAGCTTGGAAGCTTAGGGGAATCGTCATTCGTAAGAGCTTGGAAGCTTGCGATACCCGAAGAACTGGGTCAACGTGAACACCGTCGTTCTTAACGAGTGCGCACATACATACATATATGTGTATATATATACATACATGCAATCACACATAGATAGCTGAATGTATGTACGTGCAAGCACGCAATGGGACAAGTATACTACACGTTAATTACGTGTGTATAGAAGAACATAGCAGGTAAGAGAGAGGAAGAAGGTCTCTTTTGTCTTCTCGCATATCTCATCCGAATAATTTCCTTCCCATCGATATTGGAAGCTGTAGAATTCGAAACTCGGTCGAATCAAATCGAAGTATCTTCGTTTTAATTAATCCTCATACTTCGATTTCTCGTTTTATTCAAACGAATCTTAATTTAGAAGATATGATGTATCTAGAGTAATCATTTTGCTTATAACATTAATTCTGTCACATTATTATTGCATTTTAATATGCTTATATACCTACGTATGCGTGTGTACTCCATTGTAATAATAATTTCATAAAAATTCGAATTATTCTCTTCAATATTTCTCTCATTTATTTATTTTTTTTTTTTCTATTGTAAATTATCAAATAAAATCTTGACATAATTTTACGCATGGAATCGTTTCGAATGTGAAATTTTTCATTTCTTTTTCGTACTTTATTAACCGGAACGAACAGGAAGCAATTTCTTTTTGGTGAAAATATCGAGGAGATATTAACATAGGGACAAATACGATAAGAGAGCTGTTTCAAAAGTAAAAATAAATGCTTACGGTGCTCGATGACGGACTCGTGTGTATAACTTGTGGAAAATGTTGACGATTAATGAGGCTGATTTCGAGAAAGAGAAAGAGAGATAGGACCAAAGTGAAAGTGCGCAAGCCATCTCGAATTCGAATTCTTTGGGCCGGTCCGATCTTGTCGTCGAGGAGCCTCCGAAAAAGGCGAATCTGTCGTTCCATTGGTCGCCTGACTCGTAGAAAATGAGAGAACTGGTCTCAAGAGGGTACATAACGTATGTGTACATAGTATAACAAGCAACAGTTATCTCTATGAAGCTACTATAATTATTGAAAATATTATTTTCTAATTGATTAATATTATATGTCATATTTTCTATGATAAATATAAAAATTCGTATTTTTTATTTTACATTTTGAATTAAAAAAAAACATATTTTTCTCATTATATATTTAATACTAAATCAACCAACTTGTATACTTAATTCTACAGTGAGCGGTCAAATGACTGCTTGACAAAAAAAATAGATTTATCTTAATATAGAATGAGATTTTAGATAGTGAATAATAAATTTTCTTTTGTTTAGAAATAGATAATACAAATTTTATGCGTTTTTACTGGATTTTTTTTACAAATAACAGGATTCTTACCAATTATCATATTTTTACGAATTATCGAAAGCGGTCAATTTAACCACACGTAGTAGGTTTAATGTTAATATAATAATAATAATTATATAAATAATAATTAATAATAATTATTAATAATATAAATAAAATTATAAATTAATATATTTAAAATATAATTATAATAAAATTAATAATATAACTATAATAAAATTAATAATATAATTATAATAATAAATAATAATTATTTTTAAATGTATCAATAAAATATGTTTCAAATAATATAGTAAATTAAAAAAAAAATAGTATTATTACTTTTTATTTATATATTATGAAATAGAAAAACATTTCTACGATATAAACAATAACAGGAAATATTATATTAGTCGTATGCAAATTAGTATAGTGCCATATATTTAAAAGCGAGGAAAAAAAAATGAGAAGAATAATATTGCTATTTTGTAAAATTATTATTTTATGCTAATTATTTTGAAAGAGCAAAATTTTAATTTTAGATGATAAGTAAATGTATGAAATATAAATATTTACGATAGAACAGTGCGTTATATTTTAAAAATAATAATAATAATAATAAAAAAAAGGAACGGTGGGATATTATACTGCACTATTATTTCTTTTTATAGCAGAAAAGAGAAGCAGTGGGATAAATCGATTCCTCGAGAGGGTACTAGACGAGAGTTGCTTCCGAAACGGTATCAAAAGCCATCGTTGGTGCTGCTGCTTCTCGAAATCGAGCACCCACTGCTCGATACCGATTCGTTTTCCACGATGCTTCTATAGAAATCGTAGATGCGATCAATAATGAACGTTCGATTGTAGGGCGCGTTCTAAAAGTGGGTCGTAAACGACCTACACTCGCTTTCCTGGGTTCTTTCTCTAATTTATATTTTATTTTACAACGTATCTTACTTATGCACGATCTGGTAGTACACTTTTATGTTTTACGTTTAAAATCAAAAAAAAAAAAAACCAAACCAAAATTTGATCGTTAGTATGACAAGTAATAATTATCATTAAAATATTTCTTTATTTTTTCCCGAACAAATTGTAAATGAAAAAAAAAAATCAATGTCATTGAAAAAAATTATCTCCAAATTAAATTTTTCATCTCTCTTGCGAATAAGATTGGAAACGTTACAAAATTATTTCAATTTATTTGTCCGCTTAAAATTGTTCACAAAATTGTCTCATATTAAAAGTTATTCATTTTTATAACGATAAATTATTAGAAAAAAAAAACAAAAAATTCTATTAGAAAGTCTTCGCGTGTGTTTGTTTGTTCGGGACGAAAGTAAAACGAGGTATTCATTTTGAAGTATTTTTTAAAGGTAATGGTAAAAAAGAAAAGAATATTGTACGAAGGTGTTCGTTGAAAAAGAAATAGGGGTGGGGGCGGAGGGCAGGGAATCGTTACGACACCTAATTTCGATTTTTTTTCTATTCTCTCTACTATTCTGACTTTCTCTTTTTTTTTTCTTCTCTCCTCGTTTTTCTTTCTCTCTTTTTCCTTTTTATGTGTGATCTAGCAGCGTTTCCTACTCGTTTCAACCCGTTCGAGTACTCGTACTCGTAGCGTTAGCAGCCGCCTGCTACTGACCCACTTCCATCTCTGGGAATAACCAGCTCGCACACCTCGAGTCCACCCACATACGGAATCTCCCGCGCACACTCACACCCACAAACTTCGTTGATGCGCTACAACGAACTAGTACGTATGTATGTTCATTATTTGTAGTGGTGGTGTGGTGAATACGCGCGCACGCCACCACACACGCGCTTCTTCCTAATCAGTTCGTATTGCACGATCAAAGAACCAGCCGAGACGACTTTTCGATGGCACGTTCATTTTTACTCTCTCTTTCTTTATTTTTTTTTTTCGAGCCTATTTTTTCGATCATGTCATTTCGAAACGAACGTCATTCAATCGCGCTGAATGAGAACGGCGATTATTGTTATTATTATTATTGTTATTATTATTTTAACCTTTTATAACCCTATTTTCACTTTTTTTCTCGTCTCTTTAGATAAAATTGTATAAGATAAAAATTGTAGCATCATTTTGTATTAATAAAATTGTATTATAGTAGAAATAAGTACAAATTATACTTATGTAACAAAAATTATTTAAAATGTAACTTATGATTATATTTGCGATTATAATTATAAATTATATTTATCAGAAATAAAATAACGAGCTTGGGATATGAAATAATAAGAGAATGTGTGTTGATAAAATGATAGGATACTTCCCAGAAAAAAAAAACAGACATTTAAATGAATGTGTGACTTTGAATTTTATACGAGAGGTTGTAAAAGGTTAAATAAGTTAATGATACGAAAAGAAATACGTAAAATGTTTAAAACATTAATTTGATGACATTTACCTGAACGAGTCGAGGAAAGTTTGGGAGTCGACGATCGTTGACGGCTTTCAAAACCACAGAAACAACGTTTATGAAACACTGAACTTCGTAGAACGATCGAATCGTCGTGTCTCGTATTTTTCGTTCGAAGCAAGTGTGAAACACCCACGTACGATGCACTGTAACATCAAAAGAAAAAAAACCAATATATATAGTATACTCGTTAGTATTAATGTTCGACAATAAAATGAAAAGAAAAAAAAAATGGAAAGAAAATAAATAAAGAAGTTTTCACTTGAAAAATAAAAATAATAATAATAATAAAATAAACTTCAGTTATACATATAATATCGTAGAAAATATTGTCTCGCGCGGGTTTTAAATCGGCCACGCGTATCTGTCAACGATGAAAGAGAAAATAGTAAAATAGGTGACTATGGTTGAACGGAAGAGGAGGAAGAAAAGAAAATGGATTCTGTTAAAAGCCAGACGGGCCAAGGCGAGACTAACAACGTGGACCGTCTAATCGGGCTGCCTTTCGAAAGAAGAAACGAAACGAAACGAAGAGACAACGAGAAGAGAAGAGAGGAGGAGGAGGAGTAGTAGTAGTAGGAGGAGGAGGAGGAGGAGGAGGAGGAGGAAGAAGAAGAAGAAGAAGAAGAAGGCGTAGGCTATGCGCGTGTGGATGTCGTTTACCTCTCGGAGTTATTTGGCCCCATCGTGGCATGAACGTTCGAACCACGAATGAGAGAAGAGACACACGAATATAAGCAAGAGGAGTTTGTGGAGTGCCAAGTGAAAGAGAAAGAAAAATCGAGAGAGGGAGAGGGAACTTGTGTTTGTATTTGTACGAATGTGCGTACGTACGTGCGGGCGTATATACGTGCGGGTGTGCGTCCGTGAGTGTGTTGAAAAAAATATTCAAACCAACTTTTGAAATCATTTTAAATGATTACCCTTGAGTGGTTAGATTTTGCATTAAAGAATTATCCCTTCCTTTTCTTCAAATCGAGTAAACTAATATGAGAATTAAAGAAAGAGACAGGACACTTCGTTCTTTTTATTTCGAAAGGACGTGTCTCCGAAAACGTGTTCGGTTTGTATAAATCGCGTAAGAGTCTTTTTACCCACACCACCCAAAAATCTCTCATGTCAACATCCAAATGATGATTTCTCTCTCTCTCTCTCTCTCTTTCTTTGGTAACGTGTATATAGGATCTCTTCCCACTCTTTTTCTCTTTTCGTATCTACGCAATTTGTCAACAAGAAATAATTATTTGAACTTCAGATAATACGTTTCATCATCGTCCATATATTTTTCGATTCGTTTCGACGTAATTTTCTTCAATGATAAAAATTGCACAATGTTGTTTTTGTTTTTTTTTTTTTATTTCTTCTTCTTCCCTTTCTTCCTATACTACGACGTTAGGCGTAACTATTCATCCTTGGAGAGAACGATGAGTCATGGTTTTAACAAATTTTTTTTTTTCTATTTCGTAATTAACCCGAAAAAGTAGTTGAGGAGGAGGAGGAAAAGGAAGAGGAAGAGGAGGGAACGTAATGTAAGAGATTCATATCGAACAACACATTAATTCGTTTGTTTCATGAACGTTTCATTCGTTCTAACTTAGAGTTGTGGACTCCCTGACACACCAGTAGTGAGTTGGCATAGTTCAACGAGGAACCGGCGATAACAAATGGTTACGATAATAGCCAGCTTCGTGAGAGACCGGATACGGCTCGTCTCATGAAATTATCTATGCTAGACTAACTCTCTCTGTTACTCTCTCTTTCTCGACGAGAGGAACCGATCCGTAGCGTAGGGAGAATGATCCATAGATCACTATTACAAGCTAGTCTAATAATATTTTTCTTTTATTTTTTCTTTATATTTTAGTTGTTGTATTTTATCGATCGGTAAAATAAAAAGAAATCTTCGCGATATAAAAAAAAGAGTTGACATATTTTTTGGTAATATAATATGTTATATATATATATATATATATATATTTACATGTTACCGTGAAAGACTGAAATTTGAAAGAGAATTTCAATAATATAATGACAATATAATTAATCAAACTATTACCAATTAATACATCTATTATATATATATATATATATTATGTAGTACATTATGTCTTTTTTTATTTCTATGCAATTTATGAAAAGAAATAATTATTTGAATTTTAGATAATATGTTTCGTCTAATATAATAATAACTAAAAATAAGTAATAAATAATAATGATTAAAAAAGAAAGATAAATAGAATAAGTATGTGCGTTAAATGGTGAAAATATCGTTCAATGAAAATATAGTATTATATAATAAATGAATAAAATCGATGAAAAATTGAAAATACAAAAACTAAAGAAAAAAAAAAAAAAAAGAAAAAAAAAAGAAACTAGAATAAGCGTGGCAAACTGATAGAAAGAGAGAGACAGTTATAATCTAATTACAGATTATATCGTGTTTAAAAGTCATTCCCCTTGTGTGCGGTTCGAACGGGTTTCGCAAGGGACCGCGAACGGTGTCGATGATAAAAAGAATGTTACTATACTATGGAAAAGTTAGTGGGCGAACACTCACGAACGATAAGCGGCTGGAATCACAAGGTGGTATTTAACTCGTTCGCATCCATAAGCGCACCAGCAGCACGCCGTTATGACCATGGCCTTAATCGCGGAGCCATATACAACGACACGTTCAAAAAGAGAGAGAGAGAGAGAGAGAGAGAGAGAAAGAAAAGAAATAGACATATGCATATGATCATTCCCTACCACATTTATATACACCTTCCTACCCCTCCCCCTCCCTTTATGATACGAACGAAGCTATGATACGATGTGGTATTTTAAACGAAAGTGTAAGACATAGATTAGTGGTGTTTTATGAACTCAATTTTATAGTTTTTTTTTTTTTTTAAACGATTATTTCAATACCTGTAGCTTTCTTTTGACTTTGATTAAAGTGTAACTATTATTTCAATGATGTATTATAAATTAAATTATAATAGAAGTATACAAAACTATAAATGTGTGGTAGTTTTTGGATTACATTTTTTAATACTTTTTTCGGTACACATGGTATAATAATCTAAAGACATACGTACATACGTTTGTTAGTTTTGTAAATCTCCTAAGTAAATTCTGAGAATTTTGTGTGTAGGAGGATTATTAGATAGTTTAAATAAATATATTTATCTTTTGTATTTAATGTCTCCTAGATTTTGCCTTATAGTTTTAATGTGTTCAATCTTTTTTAATAAACTATATAAGTGTGTCAGAGAAAAAAATAATAGACTATTTATAAGAAGCGTCAGTGGATTGGAGCTTTGCAAGCAACCTCCTACTTAACATCCACTTTAAGTACAAGCAATAAACCAAGAAATGGACCACAAGTGTTGTGCTTTAAAAGCTTCTTATTAATCTATTCTTGACTGTGACTATGTAATGCATCGTGTTTTTTTTTTTTTTTTTTTTTTTTAACATAATAAACTTTATCTTTTTACATATGCATGTGTATAAATATAATATGTATATAGCATATAAATATATGTTATGATCATTTAAAAAAAGTCCGTATGGCTTTTATCTTTTATGTGTAAAGTGAAGAATGATGAAATAAAATAATAAAAGAAAAAAAAGACAATAAATAAAAATGAAATATAGCTCTAATAAATATTTTTCATTATAACTCATTATATAAAAATAGATATATATTACAATACAAAAATTATATTCTCAAAATTGTAGTTGAACAACACATATACTAATTTCGATTAAATTTAAAATTCTAAAGAGATTCTACTCTGAATGTATCTAAAATCGTTGTAAATAAAAAAAATACAAAAAACGTTCAGATTAAATGTTTTCGGTAAATAATTATAAAAAATATACATACACGAATATCAATTATTTTAATATTATGGTTGAGAAATTTTTAGCATGTTTAACCAATTTTTTAAATTATTAATTTAATATATATTTTGAAATTGATTAATTTAATTGAAATGTATACGAACAAAAATATCCCAAAAAATCGAATAAATAATTGTGTCAAATAATCAACAAATAGACATACCTAAATATTAATAATTATTATATAAATTATTAATAAAAAATATCAATAAAAAAAAGAAAAAAAAAGAAATAAAAGAGAGACAATTACATAAACCTGTAAAAATATTATTAATTGAAATAAAATGAAAAAATATATACATATATATTTATATAACATAACGATATAATTGAATAATGAATAATAATAATAATAATAATTATAATAATTATTATTATTATTGTAAAAATGTAAAAATGATAAAAAAAGAAAAACAAATTAGATAATATAATTACGAAAGTATATATAACGTAAGAATATTGTAAACAGAATAAAACAACATGATATATCGTACGAAAAGACGATAGTTTTCCTCGAAAGTGAAAGATAGGAATAAAATCTCGAAGTCTCGGAGTTTTCATGGCAGGCGCGTGCTGCCGAGAGTGCGAAATACGCGCTTGACCTTAGAGCCAGTCATCGCACCGCGAGGTCGATGGATAAATCGCCGGAGTGGAAAACAAGAAACCGACGTGGTGGTGTGTAAAGCCGCGCCACGCCGGCGCTCTTTCTTTATCTTTTTCTCTGCTTCTTCTACTACTTCTTCTTCTTCTTCTTCTTCTTCTTTACCATCTCTTTTTGATTCCTTCTTCAAAGCATCGAATCGCATCCGAACGAACGGAAGGCGCCTTATCTGTGCACGATGAAATAAGAAGCCAGTTTTCACACTTGAATTAGATCAAAACGCATTCATTTTCGAAACTTTTCCAAAAAAATTCATTATCTAAATGATTATTACCTTTTATCAATCTATCTATCATCTACTATATATATATGTATTGCATGTATATTATATATGCAGTATAATAACTAGCTTTATCTTTATCTGTACACATATATTTGATACAGTTATGTATTGTATCAAAGTATAGAGATATTTTATAATATACTCATTGTATTGCATATTATAATTACTTTAATGCAATGTAATATAATATAATGTTATAATTATTTATATAAAATATGAAAAAAAAAATATATAATACCTCTGTTCTTCCCTATTCAAATGTATGCATATATATTTGATATACATACATATCCTATTACACTTTAAAAATAAAA